CCGTGGGCGTCCAGGTTTGCTGCTGCGGGCTGCTGCTGCTGCTGCTGCTGCTGCTGCTGCGGGGCTGCGACGGGGCTGAGCGGGGGCCCCCCGGGCGCGACGGGGGTGATGGTGATGGGGGCGGGTCGGGGCCCCGCGAGGATGAGGGGGGGCCCCCTGGGGGGCCCCCCGAAGGGCGCCATGGGGAAGAAGGGCGCAGGGTACCCGAGGACGGGGGGCCCCCCTGGGGGCCCCCCTGGGGAGGGCAGCAGTATCCTGGGTCTGGGGACTCCGGGCGCGGGGGCGGCGAGGATGGGGGGCCCCCCGGGGATGAGGGGGGGCCCCCCCGGGGCCTGCGCGGGGGCCCCAGCCACGGCGGGGGCCCCCGGGGGCCCCCCGGGGCCCCCCGGGGGCCCCCGGGGGCCCCCCGGCCTGTGCTCTTCGCTGTGACAGAAGGTGCAGGAGAGACTGTCCTTGGGACAAGTGCCGAGGAGGAATAAAGAACAAGGTCTGCAGACTTTTCTCTTGTGCAAAACCACGGAAAAGTGTCTCTCTTTGTCTCCTTTGTCCCCGTGGCTGGGGTGGTGGCAGTAGCTGCAGGAGGCCCCCGGGCAGCCCTGCTCGCCGCTGTGGGTGGGGGCGCAGGGCAGGCAGCGCTGCTGCTGGTGCAGCAGCACGAGGAAGTGCAGCGGCGAGTTTTGCTGCTCGTGCTGCGGGTCGTGGCAGCAGCAGCAAAACTCTCCGGCCCCACACCCTGCTGCAGCAGCAAAGTGCGCCACGCACGGCTCGCAGTTCCCTGCTAAGTGCTGCTCCGCCACCTGCCGCCGGATCGCCTCCGCTTCCTTCCGCATCTGCTCCCGCTGCAGCAGCAACGCAGCAGCAGCAGCAGCAGCAAACCGCTGCAGCAACGCCAACGCTCCCACACCCACCAGCACCAGCAGCAGCAGCAGCAACTCCCCCTCTCCCCGCCCAAAACCACAAGCCCCCCAACCCTCCCCAGCAGCAGCAGCAGCAGCAGCAGTAACTCCCCCCCCAACCCTCCCCAGCAGCAGCAGCAGCAGCAGCAGCAGC